GAGGGGTGGTCGCACCTTGGAGGCGGGTAGCCTTTGGGATGGAGGTGTGTTTTGGTATTAAAATGATATTAAAATGAGCAAAGTTCACGAGAGGATAGCACTTTGGCAAGGTTTCGAAAACCTGTTGGCTCAGGGGGCCAGATGAGCTGCGTATCAGTTCTAGAGGACCATTTCTTCCCACTTTATCATCACGGAGCATGGCCACAGAGTGTCCACTCTGTTCCATCCTCTATGGTATGTTGCAGGGAGTTGCTGTGTTAGTGGATTCCTCACATGCCTGCTGCAACTGTGTCCGATCCTCAGAGCTCCTTTTGATTTCATGCTTTCCGTCAATGGGTGAACACTGCTACATTTTCATGTAAACCTTAATTTTTGGATGTAAAACCTTAATTTTACTACTAATTCCACAGCGTTCCAGCAGTAGTTCCGGTCCAAGTCCCACTTAGGGCTTGTAACTGCTTGATTTTATGGACAGGGCTCTGTGTGCTGCTCAGCTTCCCTGCTCTGTGACAGGGCCACCACCACCATGTTGGCCGGGTGCCTGGGACCTTCAAGGCTGGTAAGGAGGGGAGTAGTCGGCCTGGTGGCCAGGGACTGTGAGGCCGATAGGGAAGGGGAGAAGAAGTGTGCCTGGTGCTCAGGACCTTGAGGGCCATCAGGAGGAGGGGAGAGGGGACTGATACGTGACCAGCTTGGTCACAGGGAATGGCCGTTTACCGTATAAAGTGGTGTAAGTTATGCTAACTGTATTACCAGGGGTCAGGAGCCGGGATACTGGGCACACCCCACCCCTTGACACCATCATGAACAGGGAAGGATGGTAGGTGATACCATCACCTCTTGCCCACGGCCTGCAGCTTAACAACAGGTTCATAAAGAGGACTCCACGGCAGCAATGGGCCATGTGTTCTCCAAAGGCTGTTCTGAAGGAGGAGGAGAGTATAAGACACTGATTTTAGCAACTGATATGCATAAAGATTTGAAGTAAGATATAGCACAAAATAACATAATTCCAGCCGCTAGAATAAGAGTGAATATTAACAAAACACGATGGGCCCATGTTCCAAAGTCAGGCATCCAGGACCACAGCCAAAACCAGTCAGCAGATAGACTTTCTGAGAAGAGTTGCTCTTGAGCTATTTGGTGAAAAGTACAAACCTGTCATTGAATGATGTTTGTATCATATTAAATTTGTCTAGATTCATTAGTATAAAAATAGCAAGTGGTGTTTAACAACATACATATACCTCCTTGTGACACTAAAAGAATGTCAGGCCCAATGATTTTGAGTTGCTGATTGTGAAAGTGAACTGATTTCTGATTGCAGAGATTTTTTAAAGCTTCTACAGTAGTATTTTGGACAATTTGAAGCATAGTAGAAAAATTTACAGTAGTTCCTTCCAGCTCATCAATAGTTAAACTTGGAAACAATGCATGCATAAATTGATGGAATTTCATAGTTTTCTGTACCAATGGATTGATCACAACATGCTTATTGCATTCAGGGTAATGGTTGTGTAAAAAGGTGGAAGTTAATTTTTTTATTGAAATGCATAGGGAGCTAGACATGTTACGGTACAAGCACCTGTCCCTTGTGGTGGCAGACTTTTATAGGCATTCGTGCCATGGAGTCAGAACCACCTGGATGCTGCAGTGATGGGCCGCTGATTTGGTACTGTAAAATTTCTAGGGAAATATTCCTCACATCATTGTTGAGCCTCTTGTTCCTTGTCAGGATGATCAAATGTAAGCAGGCAAGTGTGGCTCATTGAAATGATATGAAAAGGTTTGGTGTATGTACAGCCAGATGTGTTATTCCAGTTACAGATGGTCCCATTGTCATTAGTTCTTAACCAACCATTACTCTGTAGAATGTAGAATTACGACCAGTGAGATTATAGTATCTTTGGCAAAATGTGCCATTAACAGTCCATGTGAGATTCCAGGGTGGCGAAATACTCAACACAGTAGTATTTGTAATCACTGATTTGTTTTTACAGATCCATGTGGTTCTTAAACTGAATTCATTACAAACTCTGATTCAATTATAGTGTATCAGCTGAAACTGAGTTTGTGTCCAGTTGTACAGCAGGGTATAATTACAATTGCTTGTTTTCCCCACCCAGGTTGAATTTATATGCTGGGGCATTGCAGTGCACCATGGGGTCTTATCATAATGTCATAAGAATGTGCCTTAAAAGGTTGAGTTGGATAAGTTGGAGGGTTGGGGCGTGAGTATGCCAACTTAGGTTGGTACCAAGACCTTTCAGGAGCAGGTTCAGCTACCCACCCAGAATTAGCATCTGAAGATTGAGGGTGGTGTAAACAATACCAACAGTTTGACTCATTACCCATTTGAGAAATGATGTTCATGAACTGAATGACACAATTATCATCACATTCTTGAAACAGGGAGGAAGAGGGTACAAATAAGGGTAAGTACAATACAGTGGGTGTAGTGATCATCTCTTTACAGCTGAGGTTTCCACAAAAGTAAAGTGATGATTCCTTGGGCGCACTCCAGTTTTGTTCAGGCCAAAGAATCTGTCCAAGTATAGTTCATTACCTGAATCAATAAGAAATTACTCAGTCTTGGGAATTATCCAATCCTCAGTGAAAGTTAAAGGAGTCCCCATTTAGAAACAGTTTTCCATATGCCCTTTTCTCAGACGGGCATTTTAACCATCAAAGGGTAGTTAGTAAGAACAGTGTCACTCTGAGAAAAGCATCAGGCTGACAGTGGGGGTTTTAGATGTTTTATGGGTTGGGGAGCAGGAAAATGAGCTTGTTCCACCAGGCATCTGGTGGGTGCCTGCCTGTTATTTAAGCATCAGACAGCTATAGGTAGGGCTTTACCCCATTTTCCTATATATAAACTTTGCCCTAAATCTCATTTTAGTAGACCATTCCACGTCTTCACTGTGCCATTACTTTGGGGTCTGTAGGGCAGGTGGAAGACCCAGGCAACTTCTGTGATGTTCACACCATTTGTGGAGATTGTTGTTTTTTAAATGAGTGCCATTGTCAGACTGCACAGCAGAGGGCATGGGAGTGTCAGCAAACCATTGATTAAATACTGCCACAGTGGTAAGACCATCAGCTTTCCAGCAAGCAAGAACTTTCCATAAGTCTGATATTATTTCAACTCCAGTAAGGATATAATGCCACCCCTCGGGTGTTTGAGGGAAGGTTCGACATAATCAATTTGCAAAGTGGATCAGGGGACTTATTTCTTACCCACTATCCATTTGGTCCCCAAAAAGGTGATCTCCTGGCTGGGGCCCTGGCATTGTTTATTCATCAGTTGTTTCAGTAGCCCGGTCTGCATTGCCCTGTATCCAGCTCACAGCATATCCATACCAAATATATTTAGGTTTCCTAGTCACATTTGCTCTTTTGGGGGGCGAGGGGAGGCAAAAGGGAAGTTCCAGTTTTACCGTAACAATTGAATAAGTAACCACTGCTCCATTTATTCCAGTTACTAGTGTTTTCTGATGTTTCAGAGGGATAGCTCCAGGACATGATTCTGGTTTAATCATGAATAGTTGTGCTCCAGTATCTATGAGGAAATCAGTCTTTAATTTGTTGTTTACTGTGGCCCAATGGGTGGGACTCAGTCCTTGAGTGGCAGAGGGTAGTGCCATTTGTACCTCCGCCAGTCCGAGCCCCTTGTCTAGTTTCCCTGATACTGCCCTGATAGGAGGTAAGTCAGGATATTTTTGTGGTTTAAAAGGGTTTCCAT